CTGCCCCGCAGTGCTGTTAAGAGGATCATTTTCCTTACTGCTGTCACGTGGCCTATGCTGGCATGGTCATTGTTTCTCTATCAAATAGCAGGGATCAGTAATTTCTGAACACCTTTCTCTTCAATTTCTTTTCTGCTTCTTTCCTCTTTTCGTGGCCGTCAAAAACTGCATCTGGAAAACATGTATCCTAGGTAGTTCGTTGCTCAGATGTGCCTAAAAGAGATGTATCTAAAAGAGAACAGGTGGCTGTCAGTGTCAGCCATCTCTGACCAGCCCTTCCTGATACTCCCCGAGTGTCCAAAGTGTTTGCATGACAGCAGCTGGCTCAGTTCTGGGGCAGTTTGTAGCCGTTAAGGTAACGGTGGCCAGTTCCCACCTTTGGGTGTCTATAGCCTTATGAAGGGCTCCTTTGCGACCGCACGTAGGATGTTTCCCAACTGCCTGCCCCACACTCCTGGTATAAAGACCACATGGCCAGAGCTCGGAGAGCACTTGTGTGCACTGCAACTTCACCTCTGCAGCTGGGTTATGGGGTGTTTATGGTTTGTATGGTGGGGACTCGGCTTAGGTTGGCCTGTGTTGGGGCAGACATCGCACAGAGGCAAAGTCAGAGATGATGCCTTCTGGAGGAGCCTACAGGCTCAGCAATTCATACACTGGGAGGAGAAATGCCTTGCGGTACCTGCCATAAGTGATTGGTGGCTGGCTCAGGGTTTGAGCTTGGTGCCCTTTGCCTGTTTTGTCAGTCATACTGTTCTAGGAACAATTCCCGTTATTTTTGTGGCCTGTCCTTCTCCCCTGCTTTTATCTACGTACATTGGACTGTGGCTGAGACAGTTGGTGGATGGCCCTGCTCTGTGGCACCATTCAAGACGTGCCTGGCTTTGGGCCCACATCTCCCTCCAAGCAAGCTCCAGGCTCGGCTTTCATCCTGCTTCTGCCTTGCTTTTAGCATTGCCCTTGGTAGACAGATGCTCCTTCCGTGCCTGGCACTGGCTGTAGCTCCAGTGTCTGTCCCAGACATCACCCATTTAGGGTCATAAGTGAGAGGGGATGGATGGGGTTTTTCCAGATCATCCTTGTGTCTCCCTTGGTGTAATGAGGGGAGATCGCCAATAGATGGCACTTGAACCTCTTCCCTGGCAGGTTTTTTTGCCTTCCGCGTCGGGATGTTCAGACCAGCGTCCGCACAGATGCAGCGTGATCCTGCTATGGTACAGGACAGCGTGCGGGAAAGGGAAGCAGAAGAGCACTTCAGTGTGCGAGGTGGGCCGAGCAAATCCCCCGATGACTTCAAAGGGTGAAAATAGCATCTCTTTCCTTACGAGGAGGCTTGGCCAGGCCTGCCTAATGGGGCCTTCTGCACCCACACACATTCCTGTTCTTGCATCTCGCAGTGTCAGTGGTACGCTCTGGGCAGGATAAGCTGCAGAAGGTATTAGAGTGTCCTCCGGGCACAACGGGAAACTGTGCATTAAACTAATCCTCATTGCATTGTCTTCACCCCTCCTGCCTGTCTCCCGTATTGTACTGTTTGGCCAGGATTCCCACAGAGGAATGTCTCTGAGGGAAAATAAGATGTGACACACCAAGAGCTAAGGCAGTTCTCCAGGGATGTCTTCCCTGTGGCAGCAGCAGGCAGGAACATGTGGGTATTGTGGAAGTGAACCAGGATAGTGGTTCAGGTCACAGCCCCCTGCCCTCTCCCTGTCTCTGCAATGCCATGTGTTCTTGCAGGGGGAGCTTGCCACTTGCCTCCCTTCTGCTCTTGGTCTGGCCATACAGAATTTAAAGAGATCTTCAAGCAATGCTGGAGCAGGCGTGTGGGCTTACTATAAATGTTATGCAATGCATTGTTCATGTTTTTATCATGTGACCAGAGGAAACTTGGCCTCTTTGACTAGGTTTGAGATTTGGATTTGGTTTGAACCCAGTAGGCAGATCAAAACTCCAGAGGTGAGAAACCCACAGGAACCAAAACCAAAGCAAAGCGATCACATGAGATGCTTGGGAAGTGAAACCACTGAATTTTGCATAGCTCCAGCAGTGTGATCTGCTAACGGGCTAGATTACAGTCTGGGAGCATACGGCTAGGGGCCAGGAGATACCACTTCTATTCTTGGATCTTCCACAGTTTTCCTTGGTGACCTTCAGAAAGTCAAGCAACCTTCCTCTGTCTTAGTTTTCTCCTTTGGGAATAATACTATCGCTTACCCCTGGAAAATATTTTGCTATCCTTGGATAGAAGTTACTTGGTAGTGTTCTGCAACCTGTATGTGTATGGAGGAGCAACACCTCCAGACCTCTCAGGAAGCTTTCTTTCCAGTATATGATGCAGCAGCGTGACTTGTCATCTACTGGGAACCCATCCAGCATGTCAAGCCTCATCCTCAGGGCAGGGATCACATAAGAGAGTTGGAGCAGTAGGTTGCAGCTCTGCTTTCTGCAAGGGCTTCTTTTCCTCTGGGGGTCTGCTAAATAGCTTGTCGCTGGTTGCAGCAGTGTGTCACTGTGCCTCATGCAGAGGAGATGCTGGATGCTGTGGATCAATGGAGAGCTTGTGGTCTGTCAATCAGTCGCTCCTGGCATTGTGGCAGTGGAGCGCGAGAGAGGCCATGGTACTTTACCAGTGCGAGGCGCAAGGTTATCTGGGGAGGAACTTGGGAGTGTGAGTTTCTCCTGAGCCTGTTGGAGAACAGAGATGCTCATGGCTACACAGTTTGAGAAAACACTGGGAGCGGGTGTGTATAACGACCCCGGAAAGACCTGGGTGCACCCGAAGTTGGTGTTTCTGGCTATTCTGATTATATGAAATACAAAGCAAGAAAGAAATAGCTGCTCTGCAGGTATCTGCTGAAACACATGTAGGCAAAAGTTGCAGAAGCAGAGTTAGTACAAGGAATTATAGTATTAGTTTCCCTCACATCACAAGTGCCATGACAAAGCCTCGTTGACACTTGCTTTTGCCGCTTGTCGTTAGCAGCACTGTCCCAGGAGCAGGTTAGGCAGCCTAGCACGAACGCACCGCCAGGCTGCGGTCACTGCTGCTGTTTTGCACCTTAGTGGGGCGGTGTGAGTTCAGGTAGAGGCTGTGAGGTGTTGCGGGTGGGGTGGCAGGTTCTGCTCTTTGTTTCAGGGAGCTTTTTCAGCTTCATCTGTTCTGAGATAAACAACTGGGCCCTGGCACATGCCTGTCCCAACGCTTGAACCCGGAGAACTCAAATATGGGAAAGCAATCATACCCAGTAGTTTAAGCTGACTGTGGTTTACGGGTTGTATCTTACAGACCATTACAAGGAAAGCCAGCAGCTCCAGTGCCGGAATAAGGAATAAATGAAGGCCTGGGGAATTTGGCTTTATATGAAAAAAAAAGAATCTTCTTAAGTCACATTCACCAGGGTAAGAGACTCTCAGTTGTCAGGCTTTGGGATGTACCTCGATTATCGGTTAGGGATCAGGAATAATTCTTACCTAACATTCGATATATTACTGCATATCTGTATGGAGGATTTCTGCTTTTGTCTGGCATTTTACTCTCTCCCATTGGAGGCAGGATGCTAGACTAGCGAGCTGATAATGTGCGCCATTACCTGTTTTCTTGTATTCATGCAGTAAGGAAACCAGAAGTATCTAGAACAACATATGGTGATTTAGAGTCATGAGATTGGATGGTGATTTCAATTTGGTGTGAACTGGGGGAAAACCGGGTGAAAGTAAGTCCACAGCGTGAATGCAGAACTCGCAGAGCAAGTATGGTTTAATAGGTGGGATAGTTTCCTACTGCAGGCATCTCCTAAGAAGGCACTATCTGAAAAGCAGAAACGTTGTTTTCTGGCTCAGACTCCGTGCCTGTTGTACTCCTTCAAGAAAAATACTTTGCTAACTGGAGCTGAACTGAGGCCCTTTCCCCTGCAGCAAAGATGTTCTCTCTCTTTTCCGCAGTCAGCATTTTATGAGTGCTCTTTCCTTATCTCGTCACAGGCGCTGGCTGAGAACAGGGAACCGATACGTTAACCAGCCTGCGCTCCTCTGGAACTCGTACTCAAACGGAGACCTCCTCAGCGCTTCCGAACTTGCCCCAGGAGGAAGGTTGGGGCAAAAGGCAGCGCTGGCCCAAGGGACTGGTAGTGGGCAAAAGGCACCTTTCACCTAGACGTGGGGAGTTTATCGCCGGCACGGAGCGGGCAGTGGGTGAAAGCCCTTTGTTGTTACTGCTGGCAAACGCGCCGGTGGCTTCCTGCGGGTTGAGAGCGGCTGGGAGCCCATCCGCCAATGCCCGGTAACTTTCCTGACTGTTCCGCCAGGGCGGTGCTGGAGGGCGGGCCGTGGAAACGGGGCACCTTGCTCGTGCCCGAGGGCAGCTGGTGCAGCAGGAGCCGGCGCCGTCCTGGCCCCGCGCCGGCATCTTCTGTGAGAAAAGGCGGCGGCGAGTTTCCCTGCTGCTGCGGGCCCTTTGCGAGCGCTCCCTGGGGGGCTCAAGGGACTCGAGACGGGGTACGCGAGTCCTCCCTACGGATCCGTGCTCTGAATCAGGGGACGGGGCAGATAGGTCACGGCATCCCATTACCCTCCTGGCGCGAGCAGGCTGCGAGCCAGCATGCCGTGCGGCACAAGCAGTTATCAGTCTGCTACGTCCCGCG